TCATCGTTATGTTGACTGAAGGGGTACTAGTGGTATGACAAAATGGCCCAGGGGTACACAAGTCAAAAAAGGTTGGGAACCACTGGTTTAATTTACTGGAGTACAGGTGTCAAAGCCTAGGACATCTGTCYGTCTGCTCCAGAACAGCTGTGGCTTCATTGTAACTTACCACCATCAGAGTGCACAGACTAACACAGTTAATTTGGACATTTTTCTACACTATTTTTCGGCTTACTCCAAGTATAGGTGGTTAAAATTTGGGGTCTCTAGGCCCTTGGGTTCTCGAGTTATGAATTTTTTTCTGCCGCCCCCTTTTTGACTTAAAATACCCGCACCCGACTTTTGCGGGATCGTTTGGGGGTCTTAACGTACACCTAGGCCGGCCAAAATTTCAGGGTAGCTGCGGCCTGTCCTCATCTACCTCTCATGAAAATTTGGTACAATTTAGTGCTTCCTACAGGGAGATATGGGCCGTCAAAGGTGCAAAAAAAAAGCGGGAATTGTCCTCCGGCCTTCACTTGCTTGCAAGTTAATTTAGGTACCTTAGCTTTGAGCTAGGACTACCAGATTTTCAGAGTTTATTCAACACAACTCTTTCTACCCGACTCTATAATATGGTGGGTCTGGACCATTCCTGTGACCCGTGGCGGCCCATTGAACACAGACCTAAACTCAATGTAAGTCTATGTAAGTCCTACAGCTACAATTTCGCGGGTTAATTGTGGCCCCTAGGAAGGTGCTATCTAGGCAAGCCTGGGCTCATTATTTTCGCCTTTAAAAGACCTTTCCAACGGCACCAAGCTTGCCCAGATCCAACGTTCCTACACGAATCACAGAGCCCAAACGCACTCCGCAATGCAAGTCAATGGGGGCCTACGGCTCCAATTTCGTGGGTTAATTGTGGCCCCTAGGAAGGTGCCATCTAAGCAAGCCTGGGCTCTTTCTTTTTGTCTTAAAAAGACCTTTCCAAGGCACCAAGCTTGCCCAGATCCAACGTTCCTACGTGAATCACTGAGCCCAAACGCACTCCGAAACATGAGGATCCTCCGTTACCTCGGGAAACCCATTCAAAGTACAGCCGGTGAAAATTTCCATTTCTGTGGCCTTCTGGCCTTCTGTGGCCCACACAGAAGGCCACAAACGAAGCCTGACCGAGGCCTCTGGGGGACTTGCGGACCCCAGGAGAGGCATAGAAAGGTGCGGGTGGGCTCGTTGCGATCGCAAAGACCAGCCGAACGCGAATCCTGACATGAATAATTTGACACTGGTACGGAGTAATACTGTTGTCGTACCCGTTTTTTACTTTTGTTATGACTCAGGTTTCATGTTAAATTTTCCAGATTAAAGTTTATTACGAAAGCGAAAGCATTTGCCAAGAATGTTTTCATTAATCAAGAACGAAAGTCGGAGGTTCGAAGACGATCAGATACCGTCGTAGTTCCGACCATAAACGATGCCGACTAGCGGCATGGTCTGAGAGTACCCTGAGAGTTACAGCCTTCTAGCTAAAAGCTAACTTGAAAAAAGGTGGGGTAAAAATACTGCAAACTGTCTTTACACTTAGTGCCACTAGCTGAAATTGTACATGTTTCCGTTAATAGCTTTGGCTATGAAATAGCTACAAAACTGAAACGGTCTAGGAACCTTCAAAAAATTGGTCTGACAGTACACTCCATGTTTAAACCTTCTAGCTTTAACCTACCTCTCAGAATTGAGTGTAAAAAAGCTGCAAATATCACCCGTGTACGCTTACTGGTGGTTTATGCCCCTGTCAGGGGCCAAAAACTGCTAGGCCCCAGGGACCCCGAAACACAAAAACTACCATCAAAATAGACAAGTACACATAATTTTACACCCACAACCCAACCGTCATGGTCCCGTTGCTCAACGAGGCCCCTGAAAAAAATTGTGCCCCAGAGCTCCTGGCTCTGAACTATGTTAAAGAGGGCCCAGAGACTTGAAGATCCATGTAGGTTTTGTTGGAATCGGACTTACGGTTGAAAAGAAACCAACCCCAGTTTTTTGGACCTTCTCAAAACTTTGGGGAGCCGCCATGAGGGACCCAAGGGCCCGAGGTGCACGGGAACAAGTCTGCCGCGTTCGGCGCAAGCCCAGGAACGATATATTCGAAAATAGACCTCCTAACACCTTTCTAAAAAAACTTAGCTCCGATTGACCACCAAAACCTTGCAAACGCTGTGTCGGATTTTGATTTTTACCCCACTTTTTGGAGCTGGCTAGGGTTAGGTCAAAAAAATCTAAACCGTTTACAAAAAACTGACATTATGGACGTGTTGC